GCCCGGCATGGGGTTGGGGACACCATCACGGGGCTGCTCCACGGGGCAGGAGGATGGCAGTGGGGCGGGGGGCCCCCAGCCCCGTGCCAGTGCCTGGTCCCCAGCGCCGACCCCGTGCTGCGTGCCATGTGGCCCGACGGCGAGCAGAGCATCACCGAGGTCACCAAGCGCCCGCTCACCGCCGCCACGCTCTTCAAGAACTCCATGGTGGCCCTGGTGGACAACCTGGCCTCCAAGGTAGCGTCCCCATGCCCAGCAGGCCTGTCCCTGTGCCAGCTGGGCATGTCCCCATGGCAGCTGGGCTGTGCCCGTGTCACCTGGGCATGTCACCTTGCCAGCTAGGCTGTACCCATGCCATCTGGACTGTCCTTGTGCCAGCTGGCCACATCCCTATGCCAAGCTGACATGTCCCCATGCCAGATGTGTCACCTGGGCATGTCCCTTTGCCAGCTGGACATGACCCTGAGCTAGCTGGCCATGCTCTGTACCAACCAGGTGGTCCCTGTGTCGGCCTGACATGTCCCCAGGCCAACTGGTCTGTCCCTGAGCCAGCGGGCTGTCCTCGTGCCACCCCATCCCTGTGTCCCTGGAGCCTCCTGGCCCCAGGACACGTGAGGGTCCCCAAAGCGGGCGCAAGGGGCAGGCAGGAGGGGACAGCCCCGTGTCCCCACAGGAGCCCTACTACGTGCGCTGCATCAAGCCCAACGACTCCAAGTCCCCGGAGCTCTTCGACGAGGAGCGCTGCCGCCACCAGGTCTCCTACCTGGGGCTGCTGGAGAACGTGCGGGTGCGACGCGCCGGCTTCGCCTACCGCCAGCCGGCACACCAAGGTCTTCATCCGCACGCCGCGCACCCTCTTCAGCCTCGAGCAGGCACGGGCACAGCTCATCCCCATCATCGTCCTGCTGCTGCAGAAGGTGGGAGCCGCGGGGGACGCAACTTGGGTTACAATGGCCCGACCAGGGGTGAGGTTGCCACCAAAACCGGGGTGGTCTTGGGTTTGGGTGCCCAAGCTCTGGGTTGGCCCAAGGAGCTCATCCGCACGCCGCGCACCCTCTTCAGCCTCGAGCAGGCACGGGCACAGCTCATCCCCATCATCGTCCTGCTGCTGCAGAAGGTGGGAGCCGCGGGGGACGCAACTTGGGTTACAATGGCCCGACCAGGGGTGAGGTTGCCACCAAAACCGGGGTGGTCTTGGGTTTGGGTGCCCAAGCTCTGGGTTGGCCCAAGGAGCTGACGATGGGTTGGCTCTATGGACCTGGCATGGAGGAGGAGGTGGTCAAGAGGTGGCCTTCACCAAGACCGGGGTGGCCTTGAGGTTGGGTGCCCAAGCTGTGGGTTGACCCAAGGAGCCGGCGATGGGTTCGCTCTATGGACCCGGCATGGAGGAGGAGGTGGCCAAGAGGTGGCCTTCACCAAGACCAGGATGGTCTTGGGATTGGGTCCCCAAGCTCTGGGTTGACCCAAGGAGCCGGTGATGGGTTGGCTCTATGGACCTGGCATGGAGGAGGAGGTGACCAAGAGGTGGCCTCCATGATGGGATGTCCTACGTGACCTCCGGTGTCCCGCAGGCCTGGCGCGGCGCCCTGGCGCGGCGCCGCTGCCGCTACCTGCGCGCCGCCTACGCCATCATGGGCTACTACAAACGGCACA